TTAATTTTTAACTTGCAGTGCTGACTAAATTTTTCCATCCTAAATCGGATGTATAGGTGACTCACAGGTGAACAACATTGTTCTGACTGTGTGCAACAACCTGTGCCACTTAACATACCAATCTCGCCTTTAATTATAGCACAGCACAAAATGATTATAGTATGTGGCCCTGCAGTGTCAATTATCTCATTACATAAACCTCCTCCTCTATTTTATACCAAAATGACAAATAATATGATCTTAATCATCTGGCGTCTGCCCTCCTACTCTCAGGTGATCTGGCAGTCCACCCACCACACTCTTCTGACATGGCTCTTTTGTCTCCTCAGTGTTTGCTGTTCTGCAGGCAGAACAAAGGAGATTTAATGAGCTGAACATATTCTATAGTCCTTCCCTTTTTCCTCTAAATAATTTGATGCTATCTTTACATAATGATTTGCATTTTGTGAATGCAACCTCAAAGAGTGAAAATGCTGAACAAAAAAGAAGAAGAAGAAGAAGAAGAAGCAGGAAATTCTATCACATGATGAGTGAGTAATTCAGTATTGAATTTGGCCACCTAATGTGATGGCACAAGAGCAAATGTTCAAGGCACAGGCATTGTCACATCTGCACACAGAAAGTTGGACTATGGGGGGGGGGACCATTTTGCACATAGCATGGTACACATTTTTAAATGAGGATTCAGGATCAAAAGCAAAAGACTGATAAGAAACTCTCAGTGTTTTTTTTTAACACTGGGAAAAGCACTATCCAGTGGTACAGACTGGAAAACTGAAAAATAGTCTAGACAAGTGGCAGAAAAGTGTCAACACTACTCTTGTTAGAATGTGGCATGCCATCTCTATCTTACTTACCATTTTTAATATAATACCTGTTTAATTATTTCTTAAACTTTTAAATATTTGTGTACTTATTTGTTTTATTTAAACTTTTAAATATTTGTGTACTTATTTATTTTATCTTTTAAATATTGGCTTTTTAATTATATAAGCTATCTCAGGTTCTTTTTAAGGAGAAGGGCAGGATAGGTAGGTAGGTAGGTAGGTAGGTAGGTAGGTAGGTAGGTAGGTAGGTAGGTAGGTAGGTAGGTAGGTAGGTAGGTAGGTAGATAGATAGATAGATAGATAGATAGATAGATAGATAG